TGATGGAGCCGAAGGTACTGAAAGTTTGGCGTCGATACGTCAAGCGGTTTGGAAGTTATTGCAGAAAAACGGGAGGGGAGGCTATAAATAGCCCCCCCCCCCTAGTGGGGCGCGTGTTAATACAAAAGTTACTGTGCATAAGGCAACGGTTGTGGGAATGGTAGGTCAAGGTACAAATAAAGGCTTGCATAATATTGACGGTATTGACGATATTTCGGAAAGTTTGGGCCCCCATCTTGTTTGGGCCCTTTTTCTGTAAAGCTGCCCCCGCAAGGCGAAATCCGTGGTGCCGTCCCTGGTTTTGCAGATACAGAAAAGCGTGTAAGACATAAAAGGTGTAGGATTACCAGGACTACTTAAGTGCCATCAATAAATTTAAAATAACGAATTTTGACCCCATTTTTTAACAAATATAATAGCCCAAAAATTCAAAACGTTTTTCGCTTTTCGAAAAAAAAAACGAAACTGTGATAGCCCCTACCAACTTCTATTCACATACCAAATCTCAGATTGATATCTACCTCTTTTTTGGCCCAGTTATAGCGACAAAAAAAAAACTGTCCAAAATTGATGACCTCAAATTTTCAAACTCAATTTTTAGCAATTCCAGACCACGTAGCGCAAAACAAAGGCCACCATTAGACTCGTCGTGACGAGCTACATCGAATCAATATGCATTTAATGCAAAAATACCAGCTTAGAAATTTGCCTTTTCTTGACCTGTCATTGACCTTACCTCCACCACGAAGTGACCTAAACCATTCCTGGTGGTCTTACAACAACACCATTGAATTGGAAATGAAAAAGTGGCCATAAAACATGCATCGCACAGCCCTAGTAAAATTGAGTTCATGTGCTGACCCTTGGTGACCTGACCTGTGACCTGACCTGATATTATCAGTGACCTCTAATAGCAACATATTAACCCCCGCCCTGCTGGGGGTCCTGGATTTCCACGCCCTGCTGGGGGGGGGGGGGTGTTTGAACACCCCCCCTTCTAACTCGGCTCCTGGGCCACGTAGCGATACGCGGAAGGCGGCGTTCGAAAGAGCGTCAAAAATAATGAGGAAATCACTTCGGTCAATTTTTTGGTCAGGTCAAAGGTCAGGTCACCAGAGGTCATTGAAGGCAAAATTTCGCCGATTTCCAGGTCGAATGTCGAAAATTTCCAAGAAGCCAACGCATAACTCGGGAACCAATAGAGCTACAGCGCCGCGGAAAAGCGCATTCGATAGCCCTATTAACGCCCTTTCTGAGTAATTTTCTCAGATTTCACCTAACGTCAACGGTTTTGCCTGCAGGGGGCAAAAACTGCAAAAATAGCCGATTTTTTCGGAAACAGTTTTTCTGCAATAACTTTTGACCCAAGCCTTGTACGAGCTTACTTTTACCGTCATCGTGTTCCTCTCGTCAAGACTCATCGAATGAACTATAACTTGACCTTGAAAGGTCAACTTGAAAATTTGACCTCAGGTCAAGGTCACGACCTGACCGGAAAGGGTCATGTTGCATATCAGTCGATCCGTATCGTCGAGCTGAACACATCTAAGGCGTTTTCATCGCTCTAGCATGCCTCTATCAAAAGTTATTTGCGAAAAACTGTTAGATACCATTCGTGACCTAAGATGACCTCAGGGCATAAACAGGGGTCACGGACACCATTTTCATGTTCAGTGTGTCTAAACCACTTGTAATTCAGTGTTTGGGAGTGTTTATAATGTCTTTCGTTCAAAAGAGGCGCATTTCAATTTTCTCCCATTGACTTATAATGGGAGGTCGCAAAATTGACCTGACCTTAGGTCATCGATATCAAAATTCTGAGATATACATTTTGTACATGCTATTGCTCTTAGCAATCGCTGAAAGTTTCAAAGCGATCGGTCACTCGGTGTAGCTATGACAGACATTGAAACTTTTTATGTGGTGAGGTCACTTCAAGTGACCTGGTGACCTGACCTTGAATGACCTTGGTCTGAAATTTTCACAACATGTGTAGAATTGATGTATGATAAGGTGTACCAAAAACGGCGGCATTCGCGAAAAATCACAAGGGGGGTGTTCAAACACCCCCCCCCCCCCCCCCAGCAGGGCGCGGGTTAACTAGGCAACTGACGCTCTATCGCTGATTTTCGATAAAAACTCGATGTTATAGCGCATTCCCTAGAAGACCCGTGAGCGGCAAAACATTTTATCTTTGACCTGACCTGTGACGTCATCGGTGACTCCAAGGCCAATAAAATTGAATCTCCTTCGACAAATTTGACAGGGCTTTCAAACGTCGTTTGAATTTTGCGTATCCGTCCAGTAAGTTCGGAGATACGTGTGGGGGGGGGGGGCAAAAAATGGCCCTTCACCAGGTCGCGTTATAAACAGACGCACTGGCGGATCCAGGGGGGGGCCACGGGGGCCATGGCCCCCCCCCAAAGGCCTAAAGTGGCCTGTTTGGCCCCCCCCCCCCCAAAACGCCAGAAAAATTGCTAAGAAAATATACCTTGATGGAGGTTTTTAGCCACTTGGTGAAGTAAAGCTTTCCACAGCATAATATGGAAGCAATATAGTAGCAGTGAGGGTCAGTCAAAAGTTGCGCGAGCGGAGTCGACCTTAAAAAAAAGACTGTTGTTGGCACGTGTTTATGGCGCGGCAGCTGGTAGTTGGCGGTGTTTCGCGTGGTGTGGCATCACTGGCGGATCTGGGGGGAGGGGGGGGGGGCACGGGAGCCTGAGGTGCCCCTGACAGGCCCGTGGTGCCCTTGCTAGGCCTGTGGTGCCCCTGGACCCTGGCAGGCCTGTGGTACAGTCCACAGCAGAAGTAATGGGGGGTTTCAGTCATGGGTATGTTCTGCTTCTGAAGCTTAGGAACGATTAGCCAGACTACAATGAAACTTTGAATGTAGCTTATATGTATCGTCACCCTTGCAGCTGCAACTTTAGCTATTGACATCTTCTTTTCAATCACTTCGCATTAAACAATCGCCAGTCAAAGCCAACCGTTGAGTTTGGTAAAACCCTACATTACTTTAGCGGTGGGCTGTACCTCTGGCGGGCCTAGGGTGCCCCTGCTAGGCTGCTGATGCCCCTGGGACCTGACAGGACTGTGGTGCCCCTGACAAGCCTAAAGTGCCCCCAACAGGCCCGTGATGCCCCCGACAGGCCCAAGGTGCCCCCGCGTGATGCCGTGACGTGATGCCTGCGAGGCCGGTGGTGCCCCCTGCGAGGCCGGTGGGGCCCCTGACAGGCCCATGGTGCCCCTGCTAGACCGGTGGTGCCCCTGGCAGGCCTGTGGTGCCCCTGCTAGGCCGCTGGTGCCCCTGGGCCCTGACAGGACTGTGGTGCCCCTGACAGGCCCAAGGTGCCCCTGCAAGGCCGGTGGTGCCCCTGTAAGGCCTGTGGTACCCCTGCTAGGCCTCTGGTGTCCCTGACAGGCCCATGGTGCCCCTGCGAGGCCGGCGGCGCCCCTGGCAGGTCTCTGGTGTCCCTGACAGACCTGGGGTGCCCCTGACAAGCCTGTGGGGCCCCTCACAGGCCCGTGGTGCCCTTGTTAGGCCTGTGGTGCCCCTGGCGGGCTGGTGGTGCCCCTACTAGGCCGGTGGTGCCCCTGACAGGCCTGTGGTGCCCCCGGGCACCAAGGGGGTCATGACCCATGTGGCCCCCCTTGGATCTGCCACTGATGCATAATATATTGATTTGTAAAGGCGTTATGGCTTATGCAATATGCAATTGCAGGCACTTGGTATCCCTCACTTATCCCTCATTGGGGCTCTGGCGGGCTCCTGAGGGCCCACGTCTATCTCCGGGAGCCCATATAGACAGGCTCCTTTGGGTCCTTTCAGTACATACACTATAGCATAAGAGGTCTCCATGCGAGTCCTATACATACATCTGAGGGCGTACCCTGATGTCTGAGGTACCCAACTGCAGCTCCAATGGTCTCTTCTTACACTGGCGGATCCAGGGAGGGGGCATTTAGGGCCATGCCCCCTTCCCAGAGGCCTAAAGTGGCCCGTTTTCCCCCTCCCCCAAACCATAATGAAACATAGTTCAATCAGGGCGTGGCCCAGGAGCCGAGTTAGACCACCTCCCGGCCCGCAAAGGGACCCAAGCACTGACTCGAAGCGGGTTAAAGAGACCCTCCCACCTTCAAAAAGGTTAATGAATTGGCATGAAAGTGATGTCGCTAGGTTCAGAAAGGGCGAAAACGAATATCTACCAAATTTTATCGAAAAATATTCACCGGTTTTCAAGAGATTAGACTTTTATTTTTGTTTACTTTTTGGGATATCCGCTGCTGTTCCTAGCGACTTTATTTGAAAGTGCGGCATTTGTTGCGCGCAAAGCAGCCTATACCACCGCGTGCTACCAAACGTTTTAGTAAAATATTAAAAAATCATTAGATCTCCGCTGACGTCACACATTCAGAGGGGTATCCAAAAGCATTAGCCCCTCTGAATCAAAATGCTGCAATTTTGAAATTCAATATTTCCGATTTAAGGCATTTCTCGATGTTGTGAGTGCGTGCCGAAACCGGTAATTGTGAGCCAGGGACCCCATTTTGGCTATCTCAGCTCAAATCTAATGTTTAGGTGGGAGGGTCCCTTTAACTGGTCGATAAAAACAATGGTAAGTGTTTACAAAGTAATATAAAGGCATGGGTCGGGTGGGCTACCATTTATATATTCTTCTTTTTAGTTAAAAAAAATTCATAGTGTCAGGGCTGTGACGAAAAATAAGTGGCCTAAATCCGATGAGAAAACAGGATTTGGGGGTACCCTAGGTTTGGCTCCTGCATGAGTTGGCCCCCCCCCCAAAACGCAAGCCTGGATCCGCCAGTGAACAGACGCCGCCAGGGCGCGGGCCAACGGGCACGGCTTATATCGGCCCTGTGTGTCATATGCCATTTTTTATTGACTAAGGACACGCAATGCTCTGACTAGCATTGTTCTGCTCTTATCATGCCCTATCTCAATCTATTTGTGAATATGACTCATCCCCCCTTCTTTTCAGGGGATCCTCTTTACGTTGGAATGGATCTGACAATCGCTAGCTTTGACTCAATCTCAGAAGTGAACATGGTAAGTGATACGAAATATGAATGCTTCTTTTCAAGACGCAGTCCAGGTGTGAGGGATTGTTTTACAATCACAATTGTTGGATCCCTGTTGCATTTCGCCTCCCTCCTAAGATCTCGGAAAGTTACCGGCCGATTTTCAAAATTAAAACGGCTTTCGATAGCCCCATCGGGGAACCAATTTTATTGACCTCCGTCTAACTGATGACGTCATAGGTTAGGTCAAAGGTCGCATTTTCACAGTTTACAGGCATTCCAAGAAATGTGTTGCTGAATCGAATCAAAACATGTTAACCCTTGCCCCGTTGGGGAGGGGGCATTTTGCCCCCGTGTTTTTTTCTGAATAGTAAGAGAACGGCAGCGCGCAGCCCCACCAAAATTTCCAGTACATTCTCGGGCATTCTCGGGCGTTCTTTCAGTACATTCTTAGGTCAGGAGTTATTGAGGTCAAACTGAGGTCATGTTCGAGCGAAAATGTGCAAAAAAAACATGAAATCTTGAAACGCTCACAAAAGCTACAGTTAAGCTACAGTTAAAAGCTTAAGTTAACAAGCAATTTCAAATTTCTTTATGTGGCCGTGTAGAGCAAATAACGGCGCTACAAAATTGCTGTCTCTGTTTTCAAAATTTTGGGATTTTGCCACCCCCAAATGATTTTTTTAACACGCGCAGTGGAAGGGGGCGGATTCCGCCCTTAATGTGAAATTTTGGCTACCTGTCTGATTCGCCTTGCACCGCAATTGCCCAATTTTTTTTGTTTAAGTGGGTCAGAGGTCAGGTCAAGGTCAGGTCAAGGGTACAAAATGCAAGTTTCTACAGTACCGGCCTTGCACCGCAATTGCCGAAGAATGGACTGAGACTGATTGCCCAAAATGTGTTCTTAGGCTACCAAGACAATATTCAATGCATACAATATCATTCAAAGGTCAAGGTCAAGGTCAGGTCAGGTCAGGTCAGGTCAGGTCAGGTCAGGTCAGGTCAGGTCAGATCAGGTCACCAAAAACAAAATATAGAAAAGGGCATTTGCGACACATGTTTTATGGGTCATTTTATTCATAGAATTCAAAAGGCACACTCAATTAGTGATATGGACAACCTCTGGATAAATTTCAGGTCGAGGTCAGGTCAAGATCAGGTCAAGTGAGGTCAGATTTTGAAGTTGGTTGTTAAGGCCTAAAAAGGTGTCTATCTGATGCAGTTTTTCACGGCGTGTCGAATGGTGGTTCAAAAATTTGTGTGTCGTGACGTCATAAAATTTTGAACAACTCCCACATTTTTAACTGATTCTTCTCAAAATTAGTATGTAGGTGCATATAGACCACTTCTCTGACATATATTCCGTTTTTTTTCGATTCACGCAAAATTTTGGATTTTATAATTATTTTCCCAAAAAAGTCGGTTTTTTGAAGAAAAAAATGGGCCAAAATCCAAAATTGTCAAAAAACCGAGATAAACATTTGATAGACAAAGTAGAATCACGTATAACCTTTTTTGTTACGTCTTGATTCCTTTAAAAATGAAGATGTTAGCGGCGTTTGAAATTTTGCTATTTTTGAGGCGAAAATGGCGAACATGACGTCACTAAAACGTCATTTTCTCAAAAACAAAGCTGACGGATTTCGCTCAAATTTTCAGGGAACGTGTCAAATTGATGTATGATAAGGTACTGAAAGTTTGACGTCGCTGGCGTAACGCGTTTAGAAGTTATTGGCGAAAAACGGGAGGGCGCAGATTCTGCCCCCCCCCCCCCAGCGGGGCACGGGTTGACTGACCCCAAAGGCTGCCTGACCCACAGTAATCGCATTTGTCATGTAAAATGGACCATATAACATGCATCACATGATATTTTCATATTGTGATCCTCAGTGACCTGACCTATGTGACCTGACCTGGTATAAGTGACCTCAAATAGCCTGCGCCCCACTGGAGGGGGGCTATTCATAGCCCCCCTCTCGTTTTTCTGCAATAGCTTCCAAACCGCTTGACGTATCGACGCTAAACTTTGTTTTGCTATTTGAGGTCACTGATACCAGGTCAGGTCACAGAGGTCAGGTCACTGAGGGTATGAAACTGTCGTGTGATATATGTTTAATGATCCATTTTACATGACAAATGCGATTTTGTTAGTCGGGCAGCCCTTGGAGCCAGTTTAGGTTACGTTCTGGTGAAGGTCAGGTGAAAGTCAGGTCAACTTAGGTCAAAGTTCAAAGTTGGTATTTTTGCATCGATGCAGCTCGTCACGGGGAACATAATGATGGTCTTCGCTTTTGCGATAGAATTGCTAAGAATTGAGTTTGAAAATTTGACGTCATCAATTTTGAACAGCCCTTTTCGTTAAAAACTGGCCAGAAAAAAAGAAGCATGGCATCGATGTCAATTTTGCTATGTGGATAGAAGACGGTAGAGACTAACATATAAATTCTGTTTTATTTTGTTTTGCGAAACTCGAAATTTTTTGGAATTGTTGGGTAATATATCCAACAAATACTTTTTTTTGGGGGGGGGGGCTAAAATCCCGAAATTTCAAAAATACGAGATTGCAGTTTTATAGCCCTAATAATTTTGCAATTTTATATTCAGAACACATTTGCCAGGCCGCGTTATGAAAAATGCCCTGCCAGGGCGAGGGTGTACTTAGATTCGTTCAAACACCTTAGATGCGTTCAGCTTTACGATACAAGTCGACTGATACGCAATATAAGCCTGTAACCTTGACGTGAGGTCAAATTCTAGTTTTATATGTCAGGTCAGTTTACAGATCATTTGACGCGTATAGACGAAATAAATGCGACGCCAGTAAAAGCAAAGTAATAAAAGCTAAATGTAAAAAAATGTTGGAGGAAAATGTTTTCCAAAGACGTCATATTGTCAAAGTTTTTGCCCTCTGGAGGATAAGCTGTTGACCCTAGGTCAAATGATAAAAAACTCAACAAGTCCCTTGTCAGAAAGAGCTGTCAAAACATTTTTTTCTTATGCGGCACTGTAGCCATTTGTTCTGGAGTTATGCGCCGATTTGTGAAAAAATGTAATCACGTCAAAACTGGAAGGGAGAATTTGTGATTATTTTACTTTTGGTGACCTCCAGTGCCCTCAGCGATGACCAGCGATGATATAGCAATGACCTTTTTGATTCTAAAAGATCTCATAGCGAGCACTCTATTGCTTTTTTCCGCGTCTTTTAAGCCTTCTTACCTGCCGAGATTAACCGGTGTGGCATATACCCCCCCCCCCCCACATGGCGAAGTTGGATGCAACCCCCACTTGGGCACGATTTAATCTCGCGAGGGCCGTACTCCCGGTGCTTGTACACTGAATGGTATTGTATAACTGTGTCCGCAGGACTACACCATCACCATGTACCTGAACCAGTACTGGAAGGACGAGCGGCTCGCCTTCAGTAGCGGCCATGACATCCTGACGCTGTCCGGCGACTTTGCCGAGAAGATCTGGGTGCCCGACACGTACTTCGACAATGACAAGAACAGGTGGGTGACGCCAGCCAGCGCCGCTCCAATGATGGTGTACCAGGTGGGTGACGCCAGCCAGCGCCGCTCCAATGATGGTGTACCAGGTGGGTGACGCCAGCCAGCGCCGCTCCAATGATGGTGTACCAGGTGGGTGACGCCAGCCAGCGCCGCACCAATGATGGTGTACCAGGTGGGTGACGCCAGCCAGGGCCGCTCCAATGATGGTGTACCAGGTGGGTGACGCCAGCCAGCGCCGCTCCAATGATGGTAACAGGTGGGTGACGCCAGCCAGCGCCGCTCCAATGATGGTAACAGGTGGGTGACGCCAGCCAGCGTCGCTACAATGATGGTACCAGGTGGGTGAGATCCGCACGTGCAGAGGTACGAAGGTCGAAGGGTGCCCCACCTCCCTATGTGACTTATGCACGGTACCTAATAACCGGTCCCTAAAGATGCGCCATATTCCAGAATAATCGACCTAACCTTTCTTGTGACTTGTGAGGTGGAAACATTGCCCCGCACGTGCGCACACGCAAAGTGAATCCTAACTGACTTCTGCACGGCGCTCTAGTAACCGGTCCCTAACGGGGTTCCAAATTTGATCGCAATGTGCAGCGCGAATTTTCTATGAGTTTCATATGAAGACGGCTCATGACTAGAATACATGGCATACTCGGTAGGTCATCTATACCTAGCAGGCTACTTCTTTTCTTTTTGTTTGCTATTAGCTGTAAACTTTAACCCTCGCCCTGGCAGGGGGGCGGGGTCGATGCGATCCCCTTCCTGAGTTTTGTTTTGCGATGTGCGCCGAACTATTAGTCAGATCGTGTTGAAATTTTCAATAGCCTCTGGGGCATCCTTTGTGCAAGCGTTGGAAAAAAAATCGAGTCATGTCAGGCCACCGAGATACGACGTCATAACAGGTACAACTTCCGACTGTTTTTGACAAAATCACACTTACATATATTTGTTTATTTTTTATTTATTTCACATCGTGAGGCCATTCCACCGCATGCAGTGGCTATTCCATGCTTCGCGTCAGTTGTGTAATGGAAGAATGACTGATCTCAAACATGCACTCATCCGTACCAACATACAATACGACTGTACAATCGTACAGTCGCACCGCACCCTGGAGACACTGGATTTCCGTCGGCGTGCTCTGGCTGCCGGAGATGGTCCCATCCTGGAGACACGGGATTTGGCAGTCGGTGTGCTCTGGCTGGCGGAGATGGTCCCATCCTGGAGACACGGGATTTGGCAGTCGGTGTGCTCTACTCGGGACTCTACTCGTACTCTACTCGTACTCTGGGCATAGTGTATGATGTTTGTATTTCTTTCTCTTTAATTTACTTTATTTTCATTTTTAGTTAGTGTAGTTTGAACAATCACTAACATCTAACTACGGCAATACCAACCTAAACTGATAAATCCTAACTGGACAAATCCGGGCAACGCATTTCCTTGTCCCATGGATCGCTTAGTTCCATTTCCTGGCCATGACAAGAAGGAAGAGAAGAAGATGTGAAGACAACTTCTGGACGCTCTGAGCCCAAGAGGCTAGGGTGTGCCCTAGCCTCTGGACGCGGGCAGGGGTGTGCCCAGGCGGCTGTCAGATCAGGAGTCTGGCAGGGTAGCGGCACAGATCAGGCAGGGTAGCGGCACAGTGGAGGCGCCGGCCAAGTCCAGCACGTAAAGCTAGCCCGGCTGACGGCACGCGCCGCGGCGGCAGGGGCGCATCCAGGCAGCGGGGCAGGCGGGGAGGCGCCAACTGGCGCCGTCACGGTGACGCTGGGTCGGATCAACTCATCATAGGACAACTCAACATTCAGTCCTACAAACCCAAGCTACACGACCTTCGGAATGACATTCATGATACCTACGGCTTTGACGTTCTGGCGCTCTGTGAGACCTGGCTGGCGCCGCCCGTGCCTGACCGGCTAGTCGGTGTGAGCGGCTATAGGCTGTTTAGACGGGACAGGCCGGCCACCTCCAGCCTGCCCAGAGGGAGGGGCGGTGTGGCCGTGCTGGTCCGTGACAGCCTGAGCTGCGAGCTGCTCCCGACACCTGTGACGGGCGTGGCCGGCTCCAGCCTGGAGATTGTTTGGGTGATGGTGCGGACCAGCAAGCACCAGTCGGTGCTGGTCGCGTCGGCATATCGAGTGCCGCACAACACCGCGCGTCAGCTCGCGACCGACCTGGACGACCTGGAGTGCCAGCTTCAGCATATGGTCGCCAACTTCCCACGAGCAACACTTATCCTCGGAGGCGACCTCAACTGCTGTCTACTTAAGGCGAAGACTAGCGACACCAACCCCCTGATTAGACTCTGTACCACCTATGGACTCCACATCACCAACCAGTGTCGAGCTACTTATCGTCCGGCCGGGTCTCTGCTAGATGTCGTCATTACTAACCGTCCGGAGTTGATCAGACGTGTCGGTGTCACCAGGTCCGCACTACGGAGGTCCGCATGACTTCACTCGTGTTATGGTCGCTCGTGAGAGTCGTGCGGCGCCACGCCGGGAATCCAGTGTGTACCGACGCCCTATCAGCAGGATAGATACAAACTCGTTTAATCAGCAGCTTGCTGATACCGATTGGTCTCCTGTGTATTTCTCGGACTCGACTGAGCGTAAGTGGAGCGTTTTCCGTGACACGTTCGTTGAACGATTGGATGCTGTCGCACCGCTCAAACGCGTCCGTGATAGGCAGGTGACTGCGCCGCCCGTGTCAGCCGAGACCCAGCAGCTGCTGCAGTCCCGCCGCGCGGCCTTAGCTCGGGGCGATCGAGCCGACTACAAACGGGTGAACCGGCTGTACCGCGCCGCCGTGCGGAACGAGACCCGCGCGCGGTATGCTGGTGCTATCAGCCGCGGTGACCGGGGCGGGCTGTGGCGAGTGCTGCGGCCGGTCGTGGGCAGGAAGCAGCAGTCCTGCGAGATACCGAGAATCACGCCGAATGCATTGAATGATTATTATGTTGCGATCGGTCCTTCCACTGCAGCCAGTGTCCCCGCCGCTACTGTACGTGTGCCCACGCGACTCCCGAGAGTTTTGACGTGTGCGTTTGAGGTGCAACCTACCGATTTGGACACTCTTTATGCCACATTGCTGTCGATGAAACCATCTATGTCGACTGGCAAGGACGGTGTCAGTGTGCGCATGTTACAGAAGTTCTTTCCCGGGATTGGCCATGCGGTTTTGGATGTTGTGAACTCCAGCCTTTCTAACGGAGTAGTACCGCAGGACTGGAAACACGCTCTGGTTACCCCAATTCCGAAAGGAACGAGGGCTACCGAGCCGTCCGACACGCGTCCCATCTCCATCCTGCCTGCGATTATGAAATTAGTTGAACGTGTCGTGCAAAAACAGTTGGTCTCTTATCTCGAAGAAAATTTCCTTCTCTCGGACGCCCAACACGGTTATAGAAAACAACGTTCAACGGAAACCGCGCTTCACGTCTTTACTGATCATGCTCTTCAGGCAATGGACAATGGTAACATTTGTATCTTGGTACTACTAGACCTCTCAAAATGTTTTGATGTTGTTCCTCATGTTACACTTCTCGACAAATTGTCTGTGTACGGTATCGAAACCACATGGTTCCGTGCCTATTTGGCTCACCACTCGCAGCAGGTCCAAGTGAGGTGCGCGGACGGTTCGACACTGCTGTCGGACAGCAAGGCTAACGCGATTGGCGTATACCAAGGCGGCGCCCTGAGTTGTCTCATGTACGGTTCTCCAGGGTATTAGTCGTTGGTCGCTCGGCGAGCGGGAGGGCAACCAGTTCCGCCCCTGTATCGCGTGACCCCTTGCTCCGCCCAGTTACGCACGAGCGTACTCCACGCCGCGTAGTAGCGTGGGGAGGGGAGGGTTAGAATGGTGGCATGTGTAGAGGCTAGAACCGGTTTCCACCGCCATGCCACCGCCCAGCGACATGGAGCGGGGTCGGTGACCAGGGCGCAGGGAAAGGTCAGAGGTCAGCTATAACGTAGAACTTTGTGTCTCTCTCCCCTCCGCGTGTAACGACCGCACGACAGCGGCCGGCCGCCGATCAGGCTAGACATGTCAAGGTCACCCGCAGTCAACGGGCTCAGAGGGTTGGTCGAGTGCGCGTCCGTGGCTGACGACAGTCTCGACCATGTGCTATGGTGCCGATAGACTAGCGTGGGTAATAAGTTTTTGTTCAGGCTGCTGGGGTGTGTCATCTTGATATGATGCTTTGTAACATGTATGATACGCAACCTCGCTGGCAGTGGCCGAGAGGAGGGGGGGGGGGGGAGGCGGGTGCCGCCTACACATGTTTATTTTTGTTGATAGCTGCGAGAGCTGAAATTTGGCAAGCCTGACCTTTGGTTCAAGCTGAATTTTTATGACAGCAGCTGTATTTTCACCCTTGCCCATATTGGTGTTTTGCCAGCGTCTATCGTAAAGAGGGGGAGGAGGGTCCGTTGGACCCCTTTGCCGTTCAGCCCCTAATCGAGCTAGAGCTTCGCGGAAAAAGAGCGTGTTGCCCGTGACGAGAGGAGGCCGATGATACCCAATTTTAACCCTCGCCGGCACAGGGGGGTTGATGCAACCTCCCCCTAAGGTTTTTCGCGAATAACTCGCGTAAAAAGCGGCCGATCGCGACGAAACTTTCAGTACCCTCGCATTGATCAATTTTACGCCTACCCTGAGATTTTTTTTGACCCTGACCCAAATGACCGTTGACCTGTGACCTCTTCCGAGACCATGTTTGGCCGGAATCGCGATTCGGCGTATGTCGGCTCGCATTAGCCGCGCGTTTGCAAGCTTTTCGTGGTTTCAAACGTTCAAACATGTGATTTGATGTTGTTCCCATACATAAGGGTGGGTTTCAAGGTCAGCTGAAGGTCAGGTCAGGTCATTGACCTTTGGTGACCCCTCGGTTCACTTTTTCGAGTTTTACATGCTTCTAGGCTAGTTTTTGGAGCTGAAATCGAATTTAGCAACCATTTGAACATTTACGAAGTAATTTGGTGCCTTCGTAACAT